AGCGCCACATTTCCACAACTGCGTCAACAGATGGCGCTACTTGTGTTAAATATTCGACAGAACAGGTCTGGTAATTTTTTTAAATATTGGGAAGTGGGAGGAATTATAAGAAACACGGAGACTTGTTTCAATGAATAATATCATTACATTAAAGTAAAATTATAATTTTTATATCGCTTATTTCATAATGTCGCTATTTATAGATAATATGTTTATACTTCCACGTAACATCGTTCTAAAAATAGTGTTGTTATTCTGGAAGTTTCTTTATATCAATGTTCTAATTTGGGACTCTTTCCTTTTTTCCGGAGAGAATTGTGCAACTATAAGAGAATTTCTCGTTAAAATCCATTAATATTTGCTTTCCGAGACACATCATAACACACACACGGCACGCACTCTTGAAAACATGGTTAAAAAAATTGGCAGTAATTGTCAGAATTAATTTTACTTAAGTAGGTTATTATTTACCTTCTCAAATATCAGAATTGGTTTTACTAAAAGTAGGTCATTTAAGACCTTCTATTCTCTTTTTAGGGTGCCGTACCTCAAAATGAAAAAACGGAACCCTTATAGGATCACTTTGTTTGTCTGTCTGTCAAGACCCTTTTTCTCAGGAACGCATGGAGGTATCAAGCTGAAATTATCAAATCATATCAAATACTCAAGTCTACTGTCCCTTGGAGCTGTGAAAAAATCAAACTTCTAAGCCAACGAAATTAAAAGATACAGCCGTTTACGCCGCAAATTTTCGACATTCGCTACGGAATCAAAACCTACAGGGTACTTCCCGTGAAATCAGAATCTTAAAATTTGGTACGAAGCAACGTATAGCACAGATAAAGGAAAAATTGCGAAAACATAAATTTTTAGTTACATCATATAATAAAAATATTTTTAATAATTTTAAACTTATATATCTACGAATTTGTTCAGAACCCTCGGTGCTCGAGTCCGACTCGCACTTTGCCAGTTTTATTTTTATCAGCCCATAAATATCCACTGCTGAACGAGGGACATTGGACAGAGAAATTTCCGTAATCAAAAGGAGATTGGCGATCGCAATCCCAGTCATCTTGCAACTTTGACGGGGATTCCGAATGACGGTCTCAGTATTTATTATAAATACGATATGGTTTATCCCATAACCACCTCTTACGATTCCCACGGAACGGTATATGGTCACTGATGCTCTCAAGTCGCCAGTCACAACACGGCAGATCATTTATTAATGATAGAAAATTATAGTTTTCATACTTTGAAATCATGTTGCAATCAATTTTATTGCAACTCGCCAACACGACCAACTGAGAACTATTATGTAGGTAAATCGCGAGCAAAAGTTTTTATCGCAACATCGGTAACGGAAGCAAAGAAAATATGTTTCGAAGAACATTTCAGTAGACTCGAACTACTAGTAATAACGTTGTAATTTTATGTTTGGTCACAACAATAATAAAAGAATAATTAAAAACATAATGGTTTCTTATATTTACGCTATTACTACACATGGAGTAAAACTAATTTTACTTAGGTACTGTAATTAAAAAAATGTAAATATTCAAAGCGCAATTAGTTTTATTCCAATTAAAAAATTTAAATAGTCAAGCGTGGCGTGCAGATCGCCATCCGCAGGTTTTTTTTAATAATTTTTTAATTTTTTAATTATTATAGGTTATCTGTAAGAAATTTCTGTCGCCTTTTATGATACCCACGGGGATATTGGAGAGATGGGTAGTGGATATTCTTACACCGTCACTACAAGGTTTTTCAGGAACAGAGGTATCTTACGAACCATTGGTAAATTAAACATAAGAATGACATTCTATAAGTATTATTTATAATCTATAACGGTTAAAAAAAGGGTAAACATGTTTGTGATTAAAAGTTTAGTTTTACTTAATTTAAAGCAAAGCTTGACTATACTACCATTTGATAGTAAGTGATGATATGATCGAAAAAGGTAAAGCATACTGTCTTTGCTTAAAGCAAGGATTTCCGACGTTAAAAGACTTTTAGCGCACTCTTCTCCGCTGCATTCAAATTTGTCCAGTATCGAAGTAAACGGACAAAAATTGGCGGAAAAAGAGGTGGCAGGTGCAAAAAAAAATGTAGTTTTTGGTAACGTTTTTTTTTTTTTAAAAAAAATAAATGGTCTAAATACAAATGTAGCCAATAAAGAGTCTAATTCAATTAAATACCTCTCATATTATCAAAAATATTATAAGGTTATCACTTAAAAACGAGTCATAATTTTTGTCTCAATTTATTGACTATTCGTATATTTTCTCCGTGCGTATACTATTTTAATAAGTATCCGTTCTCAAGCGTCAATATCGCGTCTAAAATTATTCGTCCAACCTAGTCTTAAGGCTGCTCACAAAGCAAACTCACGCAAAGTGAATTTTAGTACAGTCGATCTATTCAATATCATTCTAAGAGCTAAGACAAGTATAGTCTTAGTTTTTTAATTACATTACAGGATGAAATTTTCTCGATAGAGTAGTCAAGCACTGGCTTACAACATTAAAAAAAGAAAAAGGACACACAGATTTCTTTTCTTTCGGCGTTTTAGACGACTTGAATGTAGGAGGTTCTCAATCGAATCGAACCGGAGTGCAGAACTTTCAGTGTCCCCTATATCGCTATGTGACTTGGCATACTCGCCGATCGTCCGTTGCAAATACATATAAATATCCATAATTAAGATTAAAATCAAAAACACAAGCTACTTCACTATAGCCTTAACACTAAACTGAGCTCTTTCAATACACTTTCGAGGAATGGCGAGAGGTCTCTGTCATACGGCGATCCGTTGCGAGTCGCGATAATACGCTGGTGGAATTATCGTTGAAACGTGAAGTTCTATTGACGATAGGAGAGTGGAAATGGAATCGTCGCCATGGGCTCACCCGTGGAAATGGCACCCTGGGGTTAAAAGTATCTATTACTTTTATTCACTCCATGCGTGTCGAGATTAAGGAAAATGCTGAGCTAGTTGATCACGAGGAATCACTTTTACGTGGTAGAACCATTCTGTAGCTATATTATGGTTGTTGCTCAACCGCAGAAGGACCACGCTCTCACAGAATACCAGCGTAAAATAGTAGCTCAGTGCTGCTACGTTTTGTATGGTGAGTATGAAGAATTGGATACCCTTTTTACTGGAAACGAGACATTCCATCTTAGTCCTCAGGAGTGGCAATGCATCTGTATCTATATTGGTCCTTAATCGAGGATTGATGTAGATGTCTATAGGCCACAGCATCTACTTACCATCAGGTGGACTGTGTGCTCGTTTGTCACCCTTATTCTATATATAAAGTGTGTGTGTACTTATACACGCACGTAGGATGCTATACTTCTTTAGTGTAATAAAAAAAATTGCCTACTGAAGTTGTCGCTTTTAGGTAACAGTGTGCGCACGTATCGTTACAACTTCATGGTGTCGTTTTTAGCTGTCAGTGTGCGTGCTCATCGTAAAAATTCACTCTCATCATTTGTCCTGAACGCCCCAAAAGAAGTATAACTTCATAAAGGTCCCGTGATCGAATCCTGGCTCCGTCCAAACTCAGATATTGGGTGTTTCTATCGAGAAATTCTCCGTAGCAGCCTGGAGTCAGAAAATTGGCGGTAGTTGGTCCTGGATCTGACCTCTCTTCGGTTATTTCAGATTTTGTCTTCGAGCAGCGTGTCCTGTTACCGTAACCAAAGTGTATGATCGATGTAATGGGAACAATCGACTTATCTTATATAAAATTATTTTAATTCTTTACAATTATAAAATCTATAAAGTAAAGTCCATTGTTTCCTTTTACATCGGTTATACACAATAAGAATAAGTTTAAGTTTATATCTGAAATTGAATCAAGTATCGTGTAATATCTAGGATGCTTTTTACTATCGTGTTGTCTTTAGAACAAATGTTGTTATTATTGTGTAAGGTCACAAAATAATTTTGTATGTCCATTCAACAAAATGTTGTTAGTGTTTTAGTAGAATCAATTTTGGCTTTATGTAATCATTCAATGTTCAATTATCTACATTTACTATTTACTATGCAGCACGTTATTCAAAAAGAACATACAGTCGATTGAGAACCTACTACTTCTTCTGAAATCACCTAAAAAGCCGAAAGAAAAGATAACTGTGTGTCATTTTTTCAATATTGTAAACTAGTACTTGACTACTCTTTTGAGAAAATTTTATACTATAATGTAATTAAAAAACTTGGACTACGCTTGTCTTAGCTCTTACAATTATAATGAATTGATCGACTGTACTAAAATTCACTTTGCGTGACTTTGCTTTATGCGCAGCCTTAAGACCAGGTTTTTTTTTTATAGTATAGGGTGACAAACGAGCACACAGTCCACATGATTGTAAGTGGTTGCTGTGGCCCATAGAAATCTACATTTATCTTCGTTTGTGAATCAAAATGCAGATGCGTTGTCACCAGTGAGGACTAAGATGGAATGCCTCTTTTCCAGTGAAAAGGGTCTCCGGTTCTCTACACTCACCATACGAAACACAGCAGCATTAAGCTGCTATTTTACGCTGGTATTCTGTGAGAGCGTGGTCCTTCCCCGGTCGGGCCGACCCATTCGTGCTACAACTATACTACTAATATAGCTGCAGCATGGCTCTACCACGTGTAAGTATCGTTCGACAAAATATCGTATTTTAGACTCGATTTTGATGCTTGAGAACTGATACCTTTTAAAATAGTATATGCTCGGAGAAAATATACGAATACTCAATAAATAGAGATAAAAATTATAATTTATGTGCCGGAAAAAATTTTTAACATTCATATTCTCGTTATAAATATGTGTTCCATGAGAAGTTTGTGATTGAATTAGATTAATTTGGCTTTTGACATTTGTATTTAGATCTTTTATTTTACAAGACGTCTAGTACTGTGAAGGTCGCCTCCAATCCGCCTGCCTTCCGGAATTTCGCAGTCTATATAAGAAATCAATAACACATATATTACTCACATTGTTTCTTGCTCCAACATCAGATCCAAGTTCTATGAGCCGCTCCACGAAGGTCGTACGGTTGTCCTTTACTGCGTACATAAGTGGTGTCATTCCGGTTGCCTGCAAAAATATATATTTGTCAATTGCAACACTTAATAATATTATAATAATTTTTAATTTTTACTCAGACAAATAATGATTCAAAATTATTTTTGGTGTCTTCCATTTATCCATCCATTACAGCCTATAAAACTACACTGCTAACATAGGCCTCCCCTGCTCCATGGGCGGATTTTTAATGGGATAGGGTGACAAACGAGCACACAGTCCACCTGATAGTAAGTGGTTGATGTGGCCCATAGACATCTACATCTATCCTCGTTTGCGAATCAAAATGCAGATGCGTTGTCATCCGTGAGGACTAAGATGGAATGCCTAATTTTCAGTAAAAGTGGTCTCCGATTCTCTATACTCACCATACGAAACACAGCAGTGTTAAGCTACTACTACGCTGGTATTCTGTGAGAGCGTGGTGCTTCCCCAGTCGAGCCAACCCATTCATACTACAGGTATACTACTAATATAGCTGCAGTATGGCTCTATCACAATAGCTGCCACGCTAGACAAGCAGGCTGGTAACCGCAATTTTTTGTGTTATCAGGAATGTACTGCTGCTCACATCCTGTTTTATTTTCCCTCTGTCGCCTCTTACGATACCCTCGGGATGATATGGGGTAGTGGATTTTGTGTCTTATTCCGTATAATATACGCTTGACATGGATGGGCTAATTGTTGTCTGACATTATCAGCCAACTTCTTTTTGTTTAAATTTGTAATAAGCAGGATTTTGCATCAGATTTCACCACGTACGATTTGTTTATTTATTTTATTTTTCTTTCTGTCAACATTATACATTAAAGTACACAACAATAATTATATTATGTTTACATATATACGTTACATGCCAGAACTGGATGAAACCTGTACCTTAGGTCACCGGGTATCACCAGTAGTCCTCCATGGACAAAGTAAGTAATTGAAGCTACAATCAGGAATTACCTACAGAGGAAACATTAAAAAACAGAATAGTAAATTTATTCGACACAAACATCTGAGCAAAACACAAACATATTAAGAAAATAAAATGTTGTCCGTCGAATACGGCCAACCCAAGCCATATAAATAACGCTTAACGCTGGTTTTCAGCGAATAGACCTTAGTTATTTTACTATATTTCTTGTGAGTAAGCCTTTTCCTAGCAGTGAAAATACAAATATATAAGTTTTCTGGCAGTTTATATTAAAACCGTCAAATTTATCCAAACATTATTTTTTGATGTTTTGTTTTAATTGATTTCAAATACAATCTATTACTTAATGTTGTGGCCGTTGGAAGGAAAAGGGGAGATCTCCTGCCGGCCAAGGTGTTATGCCCGGGTAGCGGTAAACTTCTGAGCTATTCTATATCATCATTCATCATTACAGCCCTTCACAAGTCCACTGCTGAACATAGGCCTCCCCCAAAGAATGCCACAAAGCACGGTCCTGAGCCACCTGCATCCATCGACTTCCTGCATGTCTTACCAGGTCGTCACTCCATCTCGTGGGGGGACGCCCTACACTTCGCCTACCGGTACGAGGCTGCCACTCGAGAACCTTTCTTCCCCATCGGTTGTCGGTTCTTCGAGCTATATGGCCGGCCCACTGCCACTTCAGCTTACTAATCCGTTGGGCTATGTCGGTCACTCTGGTTCTACTGCGGATATCCTCATTCCTAAGTTTATCACGCAGAGAAACTCCGAGCATAGCCCTCTCCATAGCTCGCTGAGCGACCTTGAGCTTCCTCATACGGCCAGCAGTGAAGGACCACGTCTCAGTTCCGTAAGTCATCACTGGCAACACGCACTGGTTGTACAATTTCGTTTTAAGGTTTTGAGGTATGTCTGACGAGAAGATGTGTCGTAGCTTCCCGAACGCTGCCCAGCCGAGTTGAATCCGTCGATTGACCTCTCGGTCGAAGTTGGACTTACCTAGTCGGACTATTTGTCCCAGGTAAACATACTCGTCAACAACTTCGAGCTTAGTGTTCCCAACAACTACCGGCATAGGTGTGACATGGACATTAAACATGATCTTTGTTTTGTCCATGTTCATCTTAAGACCTATCCGTTGGGAAACACTATTGAGGTCATTGAGCATAGTGCTTAGGTTCTCCAGCGATTCTGCCATAAGGACTATATCGTCGGCAAATCGAAGGTGAGTGATGTACTCGCCATTGATGTTGATACCGTATCCTTTCCAGTCCAGAAGCTTGAAAACATCTTCCAATGCAGCGGTAAAGAGTTTCGGGGATATGACGTCACCCTGTCTTACACCTCTCTGCAATTGGATAGGTTTCGTACTCTGGTTCTGTACTCGGATAGCCATCGTAGCCCTACTGTACAAGCACTTCAACACTTCGATATACCGACAGTCAACTTGGCACCGCTGAAGGGACTGCAGCACCGCCCAAATTTCGACGGAATCAAAGGCTTTCTCATAGTCCACATACACCAGACATAGTGGCAAATTGTACTCTTAGGACTTCTGTACAACTTGCCGAAGGGTATGTATGTGGTCTATGGTGCTAAAGCCCTTTCGGAAACCGGCTTGTTCGGGAGGCTGGAAGTCGTCAAGTCTGCGCGCGAGACGATTCGTAATGACCCTCGAAAACAGCACGTAGACGCGGCTCAGAAGGGAAATCGGTCTGTAGTTATTCAAGAGAGCGTTGTCACCTTTCTTGAAGAACAAGACCACCGCACTTCTGCTCCACGCCTCCGGTGTAATGCCACCATGGAGGACAGAATTAAAGAGCTTCTGAAGGACTTCAAGTACCGGTCTTCCACCCGCTTTCAGAAGCTCCGCTGTAATTCCATCCTCGCCTGGGGCCTTACCGTTTTTTAAGGTGCTGGAGAGCCATCCTAATCTCGCTCAGACTGACATCCGGGATATCTTCGGAATAGTGTCGGATGAGACTCGCTCTTGGATCGTTACTCACACTTGCGTGTGGCTCCAACGATGATGTGTACAGCTGCCCATAGAACCTCTCAATCTCACTCAAAATCTCAGGTGTCCCGGAAACGATGCTGCCACATTCTGTCTTCAGCTTTGGCAGTTGGCTCTTTCTGGCAGACAGATCTCTGGCAAAGACTTTGGAGCCTTGGTTCCGCTCGATCGCTTCTTCAATACGAGCTGTATTGAAGTTGCGTAAGTCCCGCCGCATGCATTTGGAGATCTGTCTGTTCAGATGCCTGTATGCTGTCAAGTCTGTTGAAGAATGTAGCTTCATCTCCCGTCTAACAGCCATGAGATTAAGAGTGTGATCGGAGAGTTTTTGTGTTCTTCTGCGGCGGGTCTTGCAGAACTTAGCTCCGACCGCATGGACAGTTTCCACGAGCTTGTCATTCATATCGTCCACTTCATTGCAGTCTTCCAGGCACTGAAAACGGTTTTGTAACTCGAGCTGAAAGGTTTCGGGACTTTGGAACAGAGCACGAGGGGGACGGAGCGTTGACTTCATTAGACGAGACCTCTCCAACTTAACGTTTAGGTTCAGTGTGCCTCTAACCATTCGGTGATCGCTACCAGTTTTCACCCTCGCGATCACGGAGACATCACTGAACAGTTGTCGTCTGGTCGTCATAATGAAGTCAATCTCATTTTTTGTGGAACCGTCGGGGCTCGACCAGGTCCACTTCCTGTGGGGCCGCTTCTGGAAGAAAGAGTTCATCATAAAGAGTCCCTCTTTCTCCATGAAGTCGGCCAGCTGCTGGCCCCTTGGGTTCCGTTGCCCTATTCCAAATTTCCCTACTTTCAGCTCACCGTTCTCTCTTGTGCCTAGTTTTGCATTGAAGTCTCCCATTAACACCGTATATTGGGTTTTGGAGGAATGCATGGCTCTAGAGATATCCTCATACATTTCCTCCACCTTCTCATCGGGGTGTGCCGAAGTTGGTGCGTAAACCTGTATGACCTTCAGCGAATACCGTTTGGTGATTCTGAGTATAAGGTACGCAACCCTCGTCGACACACTCCCGATCTTTACAACGTTGTTAACGAGAGACTTGTGGACGATAAATCCGACACCTCCTTGGGACAGATGGTCGCCCTCCCGGTGATAGAGCAAGTTGCCGGATTCGAGGATTACCGTGTCCTCCCCCTCTCTTCGGACTTCGGATAATCCTATAATATGCCATAAATAATGTGCGTGCGTTGTACGTTGCCAGGTCGAGTCGTCTAAGGTGGCAACCGAACCTCCACCGGAGATTCTTAGCACCCCCTGCCCCGCCGTTACCATGGTCGCCACCGTAGCCAGGAATAGCGGGGCCGCCGGGGACTGGGGGCCGTTTCTTTGTTACTGTCATTCATAGGGGCCATAGTTGCCACGCTTGGCGGGCGGGTTGGCAACCGCAGTTTTTTTTATTGTAATTTGGCTATTATCAGGAAGATGCTGCTGCCCATCTCCTGCCTGTTTCCCTTTGTCGCCTTTTACGACACCCACGGGAGAATATGGGGTAGTGGATATTCTTGACCGCCACTACACGGCAATTCTATATATGCTGCTTTAACTTCGGAACTTTGTTAGTGCGATTTAGGCTTCGATGTGTTTCGCTTGTGGCGCGACGACAGCGCCGCCACAATGTATTATGAAATCTAAAATGAAATAAGTGTTGATCTAAATAATCTAAAATTAAGTTATTTCTGTGTAAGACCATTCTAAGGAGTAATTATCTTCAAAAATAAATAATTTCATAACAGCTCGTTTCCACTATAAGACGGAATGATGATCTAGAAAATCTTGATACTGGTAAAGATATACAACGTGTAACGAAAATCATGTGGTTCCCTTTAAGTGCGTTATCGAACTTAACGGGAACCACAGGGTTTTTGGTACATGTTGTATAATGTGAGTCTAGTTATAAGCTTACCTATATAATGTAATATTGAGTTGCCAGTGCCAATTTGTTAAAAAATGGCCAACTAAATATCTTCTTTTTTTTTCTTTCTTCTTTCACACAGTTCACTTGATGGTAAGTGGATGTTGTTGCCCATAGACATCGACATCTCTCCTCATTTAAGAAT